TGGGCATCCTCTTATCATGAACTACATAATAAATAAAATAAATATAACCTACAACTTTTTCCTACACAAGATTTTAAACACATTTATTATAAAAATAACACAGGGTAAAAAAGCAACAATGCCAATTCGATTTTATTTAGATACACATTGTTGCCTTTTAACCTTGTGGCTATTTGATAATAAATGTTTTTAAAATCATTTGTAGTAAAATGTTGTAGGTTATATTTATTGTGTTTCTTTTGATGTTCATTATAAGAGGATATCCAAAGCTTACAATGCTAAACGTTTTCAAAATTTTGATTCTTTGAATTCAGGGCATTCCTCTTGGATATTTTTATAAGGTGGCACATTGTCTGATATATTTGGGCTATATATTTCCCTTAGTTTATATTTGTAGTGTAACTAGCGGTAACAGGGGGAACTACACCAGGGCACTATCCCACATAATTATGTGCAATGTGAACTTTAAGATGAGTTCTGATTGATTGTTGTGATACATATTGCAATGTCCCCTTGTATGTCTTATTGACATTTGGAAATGAAATCTGCAATTGCAATGTTGTCACTCAATTCAACCAATTTTGCCAACTATCTTGTAACACTAGTGTCATGCTTCTGTATTCAGCTAAATAAATTATTTGGACTGACCCACCTTCTTTGCTCTTGATGGTAAATATTGTTATCAGTCAAAAACCATGAATGATCAGTACGATATGTACGATCATTTTTAAACAATCAATAGACATGAGATGACCTGGCAAAAATTGAACATATGTCAGCATCTGACAGGCTCTTATTAGCCAACCTTCCTTGGTAGCAACGTCAATGAGGCTGGTTAGAAAGCTCTTCTGCTGAATTAAACATTGTTAGTAATGTCTGATGTGCCACACTCCTTCTATCCCCTCCATAGGAATATAGCAGAGCGTTGAATAATAAAGTGCTCACTTTGAAGGCAGCATTAATAATAAACTGATGCTAATATAGCCACATGTTTCAGGATGTTAACCTGCTAAACAAAAGTTGCTCACATACTGTTATATTTGCAATTAACTAGCAATAGGGTGTGTCCTGAAGATATCATGCAATATGAGTTTCAGCAAATGTAACACTTATAGAGAGAGAAGCTACACCTCTACAATCTCATTGTGCACTATGACCTTTCTACACTGTGTAAACCTGTGCCAGGCTCCAGTGACACACTTCAAAGTATGTCATTTTTTAAAGAGATAGTCATCACATGTGTAGTGATGATGCATTATATTGACATTTAACAAGGCTTGCCTTTATTGTCTTACATGATAAGGATCTTACAAAGAAAGTACTCACTAACACAATCAGATTTTGTGATAAAGCCATTCAACTGTGATGTATTTTATAGGTAAATAATTTAGATAGAATAAAATAGTCAGTTATACAAAGTCATATTATTATATAGTGATTCTGTGCATTGTATTTCTTTAGAAATTTAGCATTTTTTCAATTTTTGTACTGTAATATAAATATATCATCTTCACAGTATATTAAACAGGATACATGTTGCATGTTTTCATATACCCTACGTAATTAAATCAATACACATACTGCTCGGGGAATTTATCAAAACTGGAGCAGACAAAATCTGGAGCGGTTGCCCATGACAACCAATCAGCTTCTCTCTTTGTTTTTTTCAGTTAAGATTTGAAAATGAAAGAGAGAAGCTGATTGGTTTGCCGTGCACAGCTATTCCAGATTTTGTCCAGTTTTGATAAATTCCCCTCTGTATATTTGTCCTGAAAGTGTATCTAAAGCCAAATTCAAATAGTTACATATTCTTAACAAGCAGTCAATAAGCCCTCATTGAATTCTGTAGCTGCAGGTACTGTGGAGTAATCCATTCTCAATGTTTACAGCAGAAACACTTACATTTCAGCCACTCGGCTCACTCTTCTCCTTACTGGGAATGAGCTTGGATATGGTCCGAACTTGAGTTTGTCTGAACCCGAAAAGAAGCTATCACTACCAGCCCAAATCAACTGCACCTGGGGCATGTCCCTGCCCAGCAGCTGCAGGTAAATAAAGGAGAAGGATGCTGATGACATAATTGACCTCAAATGGCCACATGCTCGTATTAGGTCATTGTAATTAATATGGCATGATAATATGGTACTGACAGCTTCTCTCTGGACCGAATCTGAGTTCATCCTCACTACCTATTTCCAACAGTGACTTGGTAGCCTTCCAGCTTTCTTTTCTTTAATGTTAACAGAGCAGGTGCACAGGAAGAAGGGACAAAGGGATACAAAGGGCGCAAAGCCAATGGACAACTGACTAACTTAGCATACCAGGTGTGTTACTAGGTAACAAAGGTGAGAAAGGAGTGGGGAGCTGAGAGACAGACAGAAAGCTCTGTGTGTGTGGCTGCTCAGAAGCAAGTAGACTCTATCTTGACACCGGCTCCCGCACACTGCCCCAGTCTACGCTGACAGTGACCGAGCATCAGTATCTACAGCCGCGGCCACACTGCTGTTCAGCCTGCATCTGACACAGCCGATTCTCCCTCACACCGCTCAGCTCCCGGACTCACACAGCGGTGCCACGGACTGAGCTCCCATTCCCCCCTCCTCGGTCACAGGTTTCTCTCCCTGTGTGGATGCACGTCCCCAGGCACACCAGATTCGGGCACACACCACGGATGTCCCGATCCTCTACACTGGCCATCCTCTGGTCCCACGATCTAAATGTAAGTGCTTATCCATTTATTTCTCTACCACGGTCTGCTAAGTTAGTCAGTTGTCCATTGGCTTTGCGCCCTTTGTATCCCTTTGTCGCTTTACATCCACAGGTTCTCCTGCTGTTCCCCAGGGCTGCATGCTTTTCAGTTAGCCCCACGTTCTTAGGGCCCCCATCCGAGAGCGCTGTTTATGTCTTTTTGTTTTTTGCCGCACAGGAAGAAGGGGGAGACCAGAATCCTGAGACCTGACTTGAAAAACTTCACTGCTTCTCTTGTCAACTTTGAGGATGACATTCTTAACAGTGTGTGGAGCTACATAGGGCAATGGAAGTGAAATAGCTTGTTGTAACGTTTATTTATTTCTTGTAAGAATAGGCCAATTTGAATGTCCGTGGCCTGACCAATATGGCAGACATAATATAACAGTTGTCCAATCCAAACAATCCAAAATCCTCTTCTGCCTGTTTCAACAACAGAAACAAGAACACAGGGCATTTTTATACTCCTTGGGGTAGTCCATGCCTACCATTTGTGACACATGGCGGTGATTTACTAAAGGCAAATAGGTTTTTCACTTTGCAAGGAAAACTTCCCTTAGCTTATTGAATGTGGTGAAAATTCACTTTGCAAAGAGTACCCAATTAGAGGTAAGGAAAAAGAGATAAGATAAAATTAATAAGTAAAAGTCCATCAGGTAGTATGGGATCCCCTTACAGATGTGAAAAACTAGATACTCAAAAACAAAGATTTAACCCACAAAAGATATAAAAATAGCAACACAGGGACTGCTGAAAAGTTTAATGGTTACCCTGTAATGATGCACATATAAGGTAATTATTCAATTACCATTCAATTATTAAAACATAAGGTAAGCCAACATGAGAAAGGTGTCTTTGTGCGTTTTTTTACAATCAAGTACCCTAACTATTAACAAAAATGTAGCTTATATGTGTATCACTCAGCTGTTGAGCCTCTAATCATCTCTGAATTGATGCTGACACTGTCCTTCTTTCTGGAGGGTGGCTACTTTTGTTCTCCATGGTCCCTATGTGTGTTGTAAAGTAGCCACCAGTCCAAGCTTGGTCCCGAGATGGACTACAACCTCAATACAAATGAGTAAACTAATTGTGAGATTGTAGTCCATCAGGGGGAGCGAGCTTGGAGTTGTGGCTACTTTTAGAACACACACAGGGAACATTGGAAACCCTCTCGAAGGAAGGATAGTGTCATCACAAATCTAGAGATGATTTGAGTATCTACAACTGAGTGATACACAAATAAGATACATTTTTTGTTCAAAGTTAAGGTATTCAAATGCATTTTTAAGATTTAATTCCTGCATTTCATTGCAGCAAATATGTAATATTTACCTGATATAAAAAAATTATTTTGATGTCTACACATGAATAGCCATAAAGCAAATTTACATGTAATGTATTAAAATATAACTTAACCTCTTTATTTAATAACAGATTTTCAGAACAACTATAAAGACTTTTCTTACTGATGTGGTAAATGTTGGAAGGCATCTCGTTACTGATGTGACAGTGGACTCGATTAACGCTTTTCTGTACTGGACAACAGATTATACAGTGGAGAGCAGCAGACTGAATGGACAGGAGCATCTTATCATTCAAAATTTAACACTATTTTCCAGTACTCAAGTGAGTGAAAGAATAACAGAAGCAGAACATATTATATATTAATTCCTGTAAATGTATCACTGATTACTTGAGTTTATTGATTGGTTAATCTTCATACACATTATCTGCCATAACTTTAGGGAGGGATTTTCAGGTCTTATGTAGCACATATTGACTTGTCCATTTGACTTTCGTTTGTATGGGGCCTTAAGCACAGGTATGTTTATAATACTGCTAAACTTAGATACATATTTTTAAAAAATGTGTGAAAGTAACAAGAGTTTATGAAAACTAAAGGTATTCATCATGCGCAGTTATTGTTAAGGAGGGTGGTGATTTTTCCTCCACAAGACCAATTTTCTGAGTTTAGAAAACACCCAAAGCAACCTTTTCTTAGCATCTCACTAGCTGACAATCCTCATCTACAGTAAAGTGTTACAAGAAAGTGAAATATGTCATGTTCTTTAAAATGATGGAAAGAAATACATACAGTACTGGAGTTCAGCATTAAGCAGTAAGAACTGTTAAAAAAGCTTTCACTGACCTCTCTTGCTGCTTTTACTGTGACGTAATTTATTCCTAACCCCTTCCCAGTGGCTTCCTGTCAGTCCTGTAAGAAATCTGAGCGCTGGAGGGCTCCCCGATAATGTGGTCACTGTGGTTGGCTATCAAAGTAATCATGTAATAGTAGCCTGTCCTACTGGGTATCAGTTGTTACTGTGTGCCCAAGACCTGTTAGTCACAGCACTGCATCAGTGCTGTGGGCATGGGATTAAGCGTGCTCGCAGCATGAAACAGTGACGCATATATGTGGCAGCACGGAGTAAGGCCCACCTCAACACTGCCACATACAGTATATCTGTATGACCAGTGGGAAAGGGTTAAAAATCCTTGCGGATCACAACAAAAACTCTTAAGTCCAATTCCAATTGTTTTTTAACTGGTGGTTATGTGTTGAGATTAAGCACTGAGATCTTGATTAATGCTGAATTTTTTTTCTTGCTTAGAAGAACATTAGATCAGCGTCACAGTTCAGCTGCAGACTTGCAGCTGAGCTGTTACTTGTAGTTCTACAAGGATATACATACCTCTTACCCCTGGTTCTGCAGACATGTAGGGCTGTGCTGGTGCTTGTAGTCCTCCAGACATGCACTCTAAACCTGACTCACACTTGCACCTGTCTGCAAGCTTTAGGCGTTGGCCGACCTCTCCTGCTGTTTCTTATGCAGCTTCTCGGCCAATCAGTGCAGTCTGCTTGTAGCCAATCCTGTGGATCCTCTCTCTTCCTGTCTCTATTTAAACTCAGAGCAGCGAACAGCACGTGGCCCGAGCAACGCTTTCCTAAGCTTGTTGCCGAGCCCCCCCCATTTGTGATTTACCCTGAATTCCTGGAAGTTTTGCCGTGTACCGAACCTTTGGCTTGTCCTTGGAAATCTCTGTCTTCTGGCTGCCCTGTGCTTCCCTTTTGTCATTGGAAATCCCTGTCTACAGGCTGCCCTGTGCCTCCCTTTTGTTGTTGAAAATCCCTGTCTACTGGCTGCCCTGTGCTTCCCTTTTGTCCTTGGAAATCCCTGTCTACCGGCTGCCCTGTGCTTCCCTTTTGTCCTTGGAAATCCCTGTCTACTGGCTGCCCTCTGCTTCCCTTGTCTACAGTCTACACTGTACTTCGCTTGGTCCCTGGAAGTCTTCAGCCTGTCCCTAACCTTTGATTTGTACACTGTACCTGTTAGGTGAGTTGGGTAGACCTAGGGATTGTGACCTGGGGTCAGCACGCAGCCAAGCCCATCTCCACCATCAGGAGCTCTGGCGAATACTGGCTGGCTCTTAGATTCCACATCCTGGGGAACCCCTGCCACCTACTCAGCATACCCTGCCACCTACTCAGCATTGCAGCACCCTGCCTTGTATTTGAACTTCCAGCTTTAGCTGACTTCCACTGCCTCATTCAGTTCCCCTGCTTGTACTCCAGCTCTGGGAGTCGTCAGTCTACACTGCTTGGACCCTTTTGTCTGAGGGTCCCTCTACAGCTCAAAAGACATATCACATCTCAGAACATTATTATATCAGTACATTATGTGCTGTTGTATTTCCAACACTAACAGCTTAAAACATATGCTTAAAAGGCAGGCAAGCTGCTAAAATTTTGTTCACTATGAAAAATGGTGTCTATATTGTAAATGTGAAGATTAATTTCTCCTCAATGCCTATAGTCACAAAGGTGAATACGGGCTTGTTTAAAGTGCTCTACTGTTTATTATTTGTATTGTCTGGGCACAGTTAAACTTTTTTAAATGCTCCTTTAATTAAAATGTGCAATATTGCTGACTTCCAATGAATTAAATATCTATCTCTATCTATCTCTATCTATCTCTATCTATCTCTATATATCTCTATCTATCTCTATCTATATCTCTATCTATATCTCTATCTATATCTATATCTCTATCTATATCTCTATCTATATCTCTATCTATATCTCTATCTATATCTCTATCTATATCTCTATCTATATCTCTATCTATATCTCTATCTATCTCTATCTATCTCTAACTATTTAAATATATCACCATTTCTGGTATGTTTGCCAGGTTGTGGCACTGACGTTGGACTTTAAACATGGATGGCTTTACTGGCTTGTAAACAATGGACTCATCATAAACTTGCACAGGACAAATATACGAAAAGATGGGTAATGCTAATAATTTCTCTTCTTTAACATCTTCTTTATACCATATTCTGAAGTTTTTTTCTCTGACAACAACTAGTACATTATTCTCCACACTTATACTGTTGATTGGTCTTGCTTAACATAGTATTCTCTTATCCAGTGAATTGTTTCCAGCGCTGCTCTTAGGGCAAGCCATACAGAAGGCAGTCTATTAACTCCTGACAGCTTGACACGTGTTGTGCAGGCTCCTGTAACATCTAAACACTATTGGCTTCTCATTCTAGGTATTCAGGGAAGAGATATATACAGTATGACTGAGCTGGAAGAGCAGCTGGGCTGGCTTTTCATTGGCAAGCAACAGGGACTGACAGTGGGAATTTCAGTGCACTAAGCAGCAGGAACTCTTTTGCGCTATGTAGTGCTAGACAAAACAAAGTGCAATTATATCTAACTGTGCAAAGCAAAATTGATGGTCACCATTTTTCTGGTTTTACTTATGCACAATCGAGGGATTGTCTAAAAATTGAATATATTACAATATATACTGTAAGGGATTAACTCCAAGCAATGAGGCACACTCAGGGCTTTTGACCCATGTTTATTTATCCAAAAAGAATTACACACTGGGTTATGTTCTTCATAAAACAAACTTAAACTTACATCAGTACGGCCAACTTTGTGGTCAGTCTTTTGAATAATGAAAATGTGGTGATCAATTTACTTTGTACATATTCATATTCAGTAATTTTTTTTTATTGCCCTCCTTACCATCTTGTCTTGAATTGTATTGTAATGTCTTTCTTATATTGTAAAGCGCTGCGCAACCTGTTGGCGCTATATAAATTCGGTATAATAATTGTTATAGAGGGTGTACACATCAGGAAAAGTTCACCCTTTGCAAAGTATTTTGTTTCCTTGTCTCTTTCCATCTAGTGGTTATGGGCATTTTTTGCACCCATAAAGTGAAGACATGTTCACTATATTAACTATGCCAAAATAGATTGAATATATCAACAACTAATAAGATATATGTTTTGCTAGTACAGTTTATAAAATGCATTTTTGAATAGTTTTATGGGTTCTTTTTGTATGCTTTAAAGATATCAGTTTATATAATTACCCTTTACTAGGTACATCATGTAGAAAAAAAAAAAAAAAAAGTTTCTAAAGCAAATGATGATATACACAGGTCTTGTACTTTTTTGTAAGTTTTGACTTGCCCATCTTTATCCATTTTAGATCTAATGAAGCAAAAGTCACAGAATTTGCATCCTGGAGTGAATCTGAGATTTCACAGCATGCCTTAATGTTCTATAGTGATCGGCTATTCTGGATAAATGGACAGAAATACATCACAGTGCAAGAATTAAATCAGAGTTCATGTACACCATTTTCCCAGCCTGGGCAGTTTATAGGCTTCACACTAACTGGAAAGAACCTTAACAAACTGGCAGGTAATCAAAGCATGTTAATTTTCCTGTATTCTGTAAGCCTTTGTGTTCTCTGTTCTGCTTTGTGTAAGAATCTAGACGTATAATCTCTGAGATATTTCAGTGTTAATTTTTTGTAGCTTAAATAAATACATGTTTCCTAAATGCCCCTGAACAAATAAAAAAATATGTATTCATGAAAACGTTTATAGTTGCTGATCACTTAAAAATAAGTATACACATAAGAAGGTGGGGGGTTTGGAAACTCGTTTCCTTAACAGCTGTCACATTAAATAGGATTGACTGTTTACATCTAGGCATGGCACTGACTTAAAGCAAAACTTCTGCAATCATTTTATCGAAGGCTTTCTACCTTAAAAAATGGAGAGGAGAAAAAGAGTTCACACGACCAGCTTAAAGGGTTATTAAACGCTCCAGTGTTTTTGCATATATCTACTTCTAAATGCAAAAAGTGTAAAAAATTTTTTAAAAAAAGCTTTAAAAGTGGTTTAAGCTTACCTGTGTCTACCCCACGCGCTACTGTCCGAAAATGTTAAAATTCTCGGGCAGCCGGAAAGCATCTTGGGGAAGGCGCAGGCACAGTTCACATTTTCGGCCAGGAGACGAGGAGAGACACAAGGTAAGTCTATGGACGCGTGCACCCGCATGCAGACACCGTGGGACAGGAAGTGCCAGCAAGGACAGATGAGTCAGCGCTGGATCGGAGACCCGCAACAGCGCTGGAGGGACAGATGAGAACGATAGGAAAAAAGATCGGATTAGGAAACATCTTTAAGGTAAGTGCTTTAATTAACATTGGGAGGAGGGAAAAAAATCTTTGACTTTAATGTCACTTTAAGGCTTCAATCACACTTGCCACTTGCATTTTTGTGCTTTATATGCAGAGAAAAATCTGTCAGGCTAGATGCTGTGTTTATGCTTCTAGATTTGTCAAATGAGTGACAAATCAGTGTTTACCTGTGTTTACATGCATATGCATTTAGATGCATCTGTTACCAAATCCTAAAATCAAATCACATTTATATACAATTACATGTGTTTTGGTGCGTTTAGAAGTTAAAATCGATTACTGGATGCACCTGACTTCTATTTTTTTCTAAATGCAGCTAATCTGACTGCAGATAAAAGCATCTAAAAAGCAGTGTGTGAATACATCCATTGAAAATCATTAGATGCATATATATGCATTTAGAAAACCATTTTAAATGCATATAAATGCATCTAATCGCACCTAGTGTGAATGTAGCCTAAAGTCTTTCCATCTTGGTGTACACTGGCCTGTGGAAGGAGTAAGGTGGAGCCAGCACATCACTGCAGTAACACCCACATTTAGCAGACATTATGCCTCTGTTAGCTAATACACTCAGCTTTATCTATATGTGAACAGAAGACAGAAAGCCAGATGCTGTGTGCTACATGTGTTATGTGTCCAGATCACATAGCTGTGTGTGTGGGCATCCTACAATGGTCTATGTACCCTTTAGGCATCATGCACACGGGCATCAAAACACATGCATCAAGATGCGTTTGGACACTCCATACCAGTAAACCCCTTAAAGATGGTTGCTGAAATGACTGTGGATGGCGCCACTTAGATCAATGAAGAAACAGGTGAAATGTGTCCAAGAATGCTGTCGCACAGACATAGGGCTCTATTCACGAAGCTGCCGAAGGATCTGGCCATAGCTTCGGCCGACACAAGGATGGCAACGTTTTGGGTCCGCACAGGGCCCCTACATCAGACTTAGTATGTTATATTGAGCCTGATGAAGGGACCCTGTGCAGCCCTGAAACTTCGTTATCCTCGTGACAATAGGTCTGTGTGTCAATAAAAGACGTTTTCTTGGACACATTTCTAAAGTGTGCTGGTCACAACCTGTTTCTTCATGGAGCTTTTTTTAAAAAAAGATCTGGAAACATGTACTGCTTTGCTATGGCTAAATGCACCAAGGTGTTCAGCAACATCTACGTCCATTGAGTCCAGGACCATTTAGCCAGGTTTTATTCAGTCTAGGACCATTTAGCCAGGTTTTATGTAGCTAAACCCATGTAAAAGAGTGTAAATGCAAGCACATTTTAATGAGAGGGGGAAGAATCAAGGAAGTATAAACAAAGTTCATCAAACAGAGGAGGCCTGTGTGCATGAGACCTTGAAAGCCCAACTCTAGCCTATACATTATTTCTTGCTTTGGATAGAGCAGGGAAGGAGTAGAACCTTTGTCAGGCTTTAATTGCTGTCTGCATCCCCTCAAATTTTGTTCTGTTTCATATCAGTCACAGAAAATAAGGTGGCATAAACATCAATAAAATCTGCCATATAAGTGTTGGCTATGTGTTTAGATGAAGTACTTGAGGAATGCTGAATTAAATGTTACTTGCTTAGAAGCACATTACATCAGAATACAGCATTATACAGTATATAAAGACAACGTCCTGTGCATATCATAGATAAGCATGAACATAGAAACAACTCAAAGGATAATATTACATCTCTGAATGTCAGCAATCAAATCAGTGTATGCTGTTGTATTTCCAATACCCCTTCTCAACAGCAAATGCATTGCTATATGACACTCAGCTAACAGGAAACTGTGACGATCCTTTGGCAATGCCTTGGTGATTGCATCCGCAATAATTTCTTCTGATGAGCAAAATTTCATGTCAATATTAGCTTGCTCTTGAGTGTCCAGGTTTTTTTTTTCTTGGAGTGATTATATTTCTTATTTTGCTGCCTTTCTCCATTGATTGGCTGTGCGTTTAGGTAATTTTTCTATATCTTTCCACTAAGTAGGTTTGAGTATGCTATGTGTCTTAGCCGTATATGACAGCTTGCAGGGTGATATTTCCTTTGTTGCCCTTGGATGCAGCTCCTGTTGACTTGCAGTGTTCTGTTTAGTGCCCAGGCACATAACCTGTTGGTTATGTGCTTGGATGAAGCACTGAGATCTTGAGGAATGCTGAATTAAGTTTGACTTGCTTAAAAGGACATTACATCGGGATACAGCATTATACAGCATATAGTTACATAGTTACATAGGTAGGTTGAAAAAAGACACAAATCCATTGAGTTCAACCTATAGAGATACACTTCCTGTGCATTTCATAGATAAGCATGAACATACAGATAACCAATGTTCTTTTTTCTAGCATTAAAATCTGACAGAGGTTAAACCCTTCCCCACTCTATCCAAAATACAATGTGTTGGTTGGAGTTGGGGTTAATGTCTAGTAACTTTGCACCACCACTGACTATTAAAAGACATTTTTATAATAATTGTTGCTCTTAGATATAACAGTTTTATTTTTCTCCGTTACAGGGAATTTTTCACATACTCCTGAAGTGATCCCTGACTTCATTCCCAGTTCTTCATTTGAAATTAGTGGAAATTATTCACATTTTATAATTTCTTGGAAAGCACCATCAAATATAGAATATGGAACATTGTTCTTCTGTGTGGAATCCACAGTGCTACATCAAATGGTACTCGTATAATTTTCAATATATTTCTATTAGCTCCCTATCCCTGCCATGCAAAGAATCCTCACTTTGGCAGGGCATATACCCATGCTGAAGAACTACCAGAGCTGCGAGTGAATAAAGTGGCAGCTTCAATTTCAGTTACATTTACTGTATGCAATAACTTTTGAAGGATAAGCTAACGGGTCACTTGTATATATTGTGCCAGTCACCCAAATTTGTTTCAGCATCTGACTGTATTGTGAAAGGCTTTATGCCAAGTACACATACTAGATGCTTTATGTACTGTGTTTTTTTTTTTAATGCCCAGTTCACTTTACAGTTGTCTGTGGAGACTTGTTATCAGTAAAGTCCCGTGGAAATTCTCTCCACGTTTACTATCAATCATTACTGGGAACTACAGTATATTGAGTTTTTCAGTGAGTACTTGTAACATTCATATGAATGTAAATCCTGCTGAATTACTCTTGAGATAACATAAATTAGCTACAAGAAAGAATTTATTGCTTTCATTCAGTTTGAGCAAATTAGTAGACTTGACAGAGAGGGCAAGCAGCATTCAGCATTCGGGATACACAGCTGGTGCATACAGTTGCCCATAGACATGAATGGCTTTGCATGCCTGTAGGCAGATATACACTTGTACTCGTGCAAAACCTGCATATAGCATACAAACTTATTTCCCGAATGCAAAAAGTCTGTATTCGGGGAATAAGTCCATACGCAGGTTTACATGAGTACCAACATAGACCGGCATATAGCGACGCACAACCATTAATCTCTGGCTGCATGCCCCAGCTGTTTATCCCTGCGCATTATTATAATTTCCCTCACACATATACTGTATTAGATAAGCTATACATGCAAGGTAATTTTGTTTCTTACATTGATAAGATTATGTACATTAATCTAACCATCTTCACACACAAAAACAAAAACTTTTAAAGCCCTATGGGTTCTCCTCAAAGTGATTTGGTCATTTAAAAAATGAGCTGAAAATTAGCGCCCTGAAAAGAAGATATTTAATACTTACCTCTCCTGTTGTCCGATCCACCACGCACTGTTGTATTGCACAGAAGCCACCACTGGAGATGATTTAGGATTCCTGGTACCCTGCCACAAGCTGGGTTTTCTTCTGCTGCACCTGTGTACTGCAATGACATAGGGGCTGACGTGCAGATCTTTAGCCTGTCAGATTCAGAAGATTCTTCCAGCAATGCAGCAACAATCAGTGGCTTGGGCAGCAGGATCGGTGACTATTAAATATCTTTTTTTGAAGGGAAAACATTTTGGCATTTAAGCCGCACTCCTCACAGTCATTGTGACCAAAGTAATAAAGCTGTGATTGTAGTGACAGGAACGGGTGGCACCATGCAGAGAGATCATCAGTTGAAGAAAAGTCACCAGCACTCTATTAAATATGAAATAACCAGCTTGACTTTATGTGTCACATGACTAGATAATCCAATGTTTTGGGGCCATGCAGGGTCCCTTCATCAGGGTAAGATAGTCATTACTTTTTTTGTTTTCGTGTACTAGAAGATTAGCCTGCAGTCCAAATTTGAATCTTTACTGATACTATACGTTTGAGACTAGATTGCTGTTCACTGGCAGCTGCATTCGCCTGGTACAAATCACCCTATTGTAAGCAGGGTGAATGTGACTATGAAATGCAGGGCAGATCCCATCTTAGAGTATATCTTGTCATGTGTTTTCTCTGTGTTTGCAGCTTGGAGAAAGTTCTGAATTCTGCCAAAATTCTGGAAAGCTTACTTATTCATTCTATACTGTAGAAGGGTTGGAGCCATACACAGAATTTGACTTTGCTGTAACTCCTTATACGTACTGGGGAAAAGGAAATTCAACATCATTAATTCTTCGATCACCACAAGGAGGTATTAAACACTTTTTACAGTTTGTACAGTTGTGATATTATTTTAAAAGAAGCCAGTCATAACAGAAATGTACAGGCTGCCATTGCAAACATATCTTTGTAAAAAAAAATAGATGACTTTCATACTTTGACTTTGGCTTGGCTGCAATACCTTGTGAATGATACAGAACAGGTATCATAAAAAGGAAATCTGACATTTATTAGTTGCTTGCTTGTTCTTGTCCATGGGGTTGATTGACTAAAGGCAAATAGGCTGTTCCCTGTGCAAGGGAATTTTCACTGTGCAAGGGAATTTTTCCTTAGCTTAGTGAATGAGGTGAAGCTCTGCTGACTTCCATCATCCAATCATGTGCAAGCAAAAATACAGTTTCCCCTTGCATGTGATTGGGTATTCTTTTCAAAGTGAAATTTTACCACATTGACTAAGGTGTGGACAAAGTTCCTTTTCAAAGTGAACAGCCTATTTGCCATTAGTAAATCAACCCATGTTATTTAGATGTATCGAAGCCAGGAACAGCAAGGCAGTTAGCAATTTCCGAAGGAGGCCAGCAATGAAAGCCCATATATTTCTCCATGATAGGTGTATTTAACTGCAATAGTGGCTTTCTATTGATACTTAAGGACTTTGCAGAGGTCACCTGAAGTCCAAGAACTGCTTCTCTTTAGCTGCCTAAACTGACACACTGCACACTCAGAAGCGGCAAAGCAGCACTTGAGGTCAGGCAGCTGACAGCAGCTGTGAGACTTCATGTGACCTCTGATTTTCTAGTTGCCTCAACAAAGACATTTACCATATTTCTGTCCTGAGAGGTCCCTTTTAAGAAATCACAAATTTCAACAGGTAATGTTTTGCCTTGTTGTATACTCAAATTGTGTTTTCATTGATTCACAGCATAGGGCATTGACATTTATTTTTTAAATGTGCCACTTTGTTTTTTTCCTGTTAAGCTTAGAAAAGATCTAATAATATTTTCCACTTGTCGTAAAACACAGGCAAGGTCATTAATACGTTCAGTGCAATGTGTGTTTTTGTAGTAAAGACGTGGACAAATTTAAATATAACAATTAAAACAATGCTTTATTTATCCTGAGAAGTGATACAGTTAAAAGCAATTGTCTCATATATACCTGCATGCCTTTGGTATATCATAGAGTAAAGCAAAGGAAGTGTGAAAAGGGACAAAATATTACTTATTCTACAAAGATATTTTTAAGGAGAATAAGATATTAAGATTGTACAAAAAATTGCCTAGACATATTTGTTGGTGCTCCTAGAAAAGATCATAAATATCTGGATCATAGTGATATTTTAAATTAACTGTTTTCTGTAATTAGTATTACACGACTTCAGTCTTGTAATCAGTCAGTCAATTTATTTGAAGGAAGAAAAGTAGTCACTCTGCTGTTTGGCATCATCGTTTGCACCACACTAAACATGGACCAGAAAAAAAATCAAAGGAGAAAGTTGCCTTAGGAGATCAGAGAAAAAATTATAGACCAGCATGTCAAAGGTAAACGCTTAAAGACCTTCTCCAAGCAGTGTGATGTTTGCTGTGACTATGGCTGCACATATGATTAAGATGTTTAAGGTCCATGTGAATGTAGCCAACCTCCCTGGATGTGGCCCCAGGAGGAAAATCAACTCCAGATTGAACAGGAACGAATGGTAGACAAAGAGCCAAGGAAAATGTCCAGAGCGATACAAGCTGAACTCCAAGGTCAAGGTACATAAGTATCTAATCATGCCATCCATCACTTTTTGAGCAACAGTGGGCTCAAAAGAAGATCCCAGGCTGGAATTTGCTAAAATGCATTTTGACAAGCCACAGTGCTTCTGGGGGAATGTCCTTTGGACAGCTGAGACAAAACTGGAGTATTTGGCAAGTCAAATCAGCTTTATGTTCACAGAGGAAAAAATAAGCTTTCAAAGAAAAGAACAATGTTCCTTCCGTGAAAAATGGAAGAGGGTTGGTTATGTTTTGGGGCTGCTTTGCTGTATCTGGCACATGGTGCCTTCAGTCTGTGCAGAGCACAATTAAATCTCAAGACTATCAAGGAATTCTGCAGCAAAACATATGCTCAGTATCAGAGAGCTCTATCACAGTTGCAGGCCAGGAGTCCTGCAACAGGACAATGACCCAAATCACACAGCTAAAAGCATCCAAGAATAGCTAAGGAGAACATATTAGACTATTCTGAAGTGGCCTTCTATGACCATAATGTTGTTCCTATCAAGCATCTACTGTAAGTAAAGAGCAGAAACATGCAGTCCAGAGAATGCACTCTTCAAACCTGAGACAGCTGGAGCAGTTTGGGACACACTAGCTAATGGTAGTCAAAGACGTCTCATTGTGAGTTACAGAAATCCCTTGTTTTCAGTCATTGCCTCCGGTTTTGCAACAAAATATCAGGTTGAGGGTCTATTTTTTGTCCATATTTTTTTGTTTGCTATATTATTTAAAACGTTCCATTGAATCAAAAATTAAAAGCAGTCTTACTTTTATTAAATATTGAATAAACACTGAAGAATGCAAATTACTTATTGTCAGTTATAAGTCATTTGATAGAAAATTACTTAATAATAGCAATCATAATATGCAGGTATACCTATTGATATTAAGTATAACAATCATAATGAAGTAATCAAATGTATGTAAAGTAGCAATGTATCTGACATTAATGATGGAGCTTTAAGTATCCTCATAAATAACTTGGAAATATCAGCAGACCCAACAGAAAGTGAGTCCACATTGGAAACTTTACCTCTATTCTTGTTCTGGTGACATCTCAGAATTTTGGATTTGTATAATAACCTGTGTAAAAGGTTAAAAATCTTAGTAAAAACTTCAGTAAGTCGATCATTACAAGCTTTCACTATTCTCCCAGAAACACCATCTGGGCCATCTTGGGTTCTCCAGCCGGGGCACTCGTATGACTTCATGTTCCTATAGGGTAAGGACTCTTTCACAAAAGCCCACATGCTAAATGAGCCATTTTAGTGTGCGGGCTGGTGTCCTTTGTGTACAGGCAATGGGTGGCAAGGCCTTGCTGTTCTTCTGCGGTGTGGTGAACGACAGTGATGTCTGCATTTTTACACAATGCTCTGCAACCTGCCAACTTTGTAATCTGAACAGGGGGCACATATAAACAATTTTTTTTGTGTAGACATACAAAGAGATGTCACTGCTCCACGCCTGATTCAAAATCCCCCACCTCTGGAACTCCAGGTGCCAACCAAAGAGTCCAGCCACGCTCTATGAACTCATTAGAAAAGCAGGAAGCCAAACACCGATGTCCGATCACATCCAACTTATTAATGATTACACTTGGAAATAGAGCACTGCACCCCTGCATAGGACCACCCCTCTCTAAGGTTTCAATCAATATGGACTTGATCACAAAGGTGGAGGGAGCAGGGAGGAAAAGCTCTTTTATGCATTGAGCAATCAATCAATGCAACTTAATGGAGAACTATGAGTGAGAATCAAAAAGGTCTGCTCAATAGATCGGGACGTGAGCAAACACATACCGTCACTCGCTCACTTTTCAATCATCTCCCTGCAGAGAGCAGTGACTGTCAGTCACGGCTCCCTGCAGGGATTCCCCCACTCCGATCCTCCAGTGCTGACTGGTGGAACGGACGGGGGAGGGGGCGGGTACAGCTTGCTCTGCCTCCAGATAGGCAGAGCCAGCTGTCACTCACGCAGCTGGGTGGATCTCGACAGTAATGTCGGGATCCGTCCCGGCTGTGGCAGTCTAAGTATACCGCGAGCTATAGTTCGCGATATACTGAGTTTTGGGTCACAGGAGGACGCTAGTATATGTCTTCTCGTGACCCTTAAGAGAACTATGGGGAAAAACACTTAGCCCATAGTTCTCTTTTAAGTCTTAAAAGAATACATCACATAAACGCCATGTTACAAAGAGCTACACCATAATACGCAAACTAATATACAGTTGTAATTACATATCCCCAGACAAAGTTCATCAGACATTAAAACTTTCCATCAATAACAAAAAACCTCCCATGGAGAATACGCCTTATCATTTCCTCTGGAAGGTGTGAGGACTAATGTGGTTCCAAATTCCATTAATAAAAAGAGTGGCATTTTCTACCCTTGGAGATCTGTTATCCTAGGAGATTTGGGAAATCCAAAATTAGTTTGTTTTGAATTGTTTAATGATTTACAGATTTTTGAAAACATATGGCTTGATGCACATATTTGTGACAAAATCTAGGCATAGCGAGTTATCAGTGTATGCAGTGTATCCTAGTAAAGGGGGCCCAAACAATTGCAGCCATCTATCTCATTGGCACTAAGGGTAGCACTTCCTGCAATATTTGTTCTATTTTTTAAGCAGGTCTGGGTTACGCTTGGGCATTGAGTTTTGAGTTTTCAAGTATTGTATGCACATCACACAAATTTCTTATGAACACAAAAACGCAGCAACTGGGGCTCCCAGGTCTTGCAAATACAGATGTGTTTTAGGCTGTATTTCCTTAGGCATGTATTTGCATTTGTGAGAAAGAGCCTTTACCCAGACAAGAGCAAAACCTATTTTTATACAGATTCTTTTATAAATGTATTGTATGAATAAAAAAAGTTGTTTTTAAACTTTTAAAAAATCTTTCTGTGTGAATACATTGAAGTGGCACCTAAAAAGTCAAATTGCCCAGTTTTTTGGTTGTTCTTACATTCTAGATAGGGATGTGGTGCAATTGATTAATGGAGGCTAGTCCAACCATAGCTATTCTTTGAGTTAATCCCTGCAGCAAAATCACCCGTCTAACACCAACTGAGGACAAAGTTATAGCTGAATAAACAGGTATATAATATATATATATATATATATATATCTATATATATATCTATGCTCTGATTCATAAGGGGAACACAGGTGCAAGAACGTAAGGGGCTAAACTTTACTAAAACTTTTACATTTATTTATTTAATTTTACATTGTTGATTGATTAATAAACATTACAATGCAGTATTTTTGGTAAAAGTTGAAAACTCCTAATGGACACAACAGGTATTGTCCATAACACAAGATAGCAATGTACATAATTTGTCTTATAGTCATAGATATTAAAAAGGACACTGCCTTCTAAGACCTAATTGTATTTCTTTTTTTTTCTTTCCTAGTTCCTTCTTCACCTCAGAGTCCACGAATATATTCTGTGGGAAATTTTAACTTGACTGACATAAAAAATATTGGAGTGGAATTTAGATGGGATGAGCCTGAAAGGAGTAATGGCGTTTTAATAAATTACAACATTTTATATACATTAGCACAGGAAAGTGAATATAATGAAACAGTTGGTATGCCGATAACAATTAACATTACAGCGTCTACAAATTCATACAATCTTTATGACCTTAGTCCTGAGATTCTACTTCGGTTTAAGGTGAGGCTTCTGCAGGATAAATGTATGATTTAGAAGGTGAATGTATTTAGAGCAGTTTTATAAAAGTCTATAAATGTTTGATGCAGAGCCATAGCTAGCTCCTTTTGCTCCCAAGGCAAGAACAGAAAATTCTTCAGGAAGGAGTCTTTGCACATGTCACGTGTGTGTGTGTGGATGTTTTTTTTTTTAAACTGTTGGGGAGGCTTTGGGGAAATATTAGGGATCAAAACAGCCCCGTGGCATTTCCCTTTTGAAATAGAAAAAGAGATTGAGGACACAGAGTCCTCTGCCCATACAGGGGCGGAGAGCAGCGGGGATCATAGAAGAAGCTGGAGCCTGTGCCGCTCCTCTTCTCCCTGCCGAGCCGCGGCTGTGTTGGCCGTCTGGCACCCCTGTTGCCTATGGTGCCCTGTGCTCGCCTTGGGAACAGGGGCGAGGGGGCGCAGCCAGGCCTATCTTGGCTGTGCCCCCTCTCAGCTGCGCCTGAGGCGAGTGCCTCACTCGCCCCATGGGAGATGCAGCTCTGGTTTGACAAAACAGAAGCAACTGGTGGGTAAGCTTACTTACAAATTGTACAGTTGTATCAAACCTTTACCAAGAGAAATACGTTAGCTGTTAGCTAGGAATCGCCACGTTCGCTTGTAAACGAACAAGCGGCTTCCCCACACTACATTTAGTCTTGCCTTCCCAAAGCACGACTAAATGTAGAAGGCAACTTACCGCCCGGCGCCCGGAACTGTATGTTCCGGGCGTCGGGGGATTCCACACCGCTGCCGCCCGTCTGCGCCCTGCCGCCCCGAGGCCGGGCCTCGGTGGCCTTGTAGGGAATCCGGGCCTGCATACACGGTTTCTTTGTTTTACTCAAATACCTTGAACATGTTCCAAAGCCACATTTATTTGTTTTAAAATAAAGTCTTTCTATTTTAATCCCATCCTGTTGCTCTTCTCTCCCCTCACACTTCCTGTCACTTAGTAAGAGCTGTGCACATTGATTCTGGTCACGTGCACATCTTTCTTTGCCTACACCTCCACGAGGCAGTCTGAGCCTGCTGACAGCTGACAGCTGACATGCTGAATGTCTTCAGAAACTTAGTGTAGAAAAAAAATGGCTGAAATAGGAATCATGACAAGACATTCAGCTCACCCCAGTGATCACAGCTCAGTGCAGAGTCTGGGGGTGGGGGGCGGACTAGGATTTGTGGGTGGAGACTGGAAGAATTCTACAGAGGAAACTTGAGAGAGCTTCATAGTTCTCATGTCTAATTGTAGTCCTTCACATGAACAAGCACAGAGGGTGGCTACTTTTCAGCATACATGGGGATCATGGAGAGGAACCAGGAAGTTGTGGCTGGAGAAAAATAAAATGGATTTTGGAGCATTTAGAGCTGAACAATAACAAAATAAAGTACACAGTCAGAGATCATTTATATAATAGAAGTTATTTTTATTATTTAATTTTTGAGTTTAGTGTCGCTTTAAGTTGTAAAATATATTGGACTATTAAATAGTAAAATATTTGTACTTAATTCTAATGTTTTTTTCTAGGTGCAAGCTTATACTTCTGTTGGTCCTGGGCCATTTTCTGATATGGCCGAAGTGCTTATTTCAGGTATCACATACAGCTAATCAAATAACAATGGAGAAAAGAAGATGGTATATTGGCTGGAGAATGTTCCCTTATTTTAGTGAATATAGTGAATACTGTGTTCACATTTCATGTCAAATCATGTACAAGGATCAGTGTAGAAATAGCAGCAGTTCAAGGGACTTGAATTATGGGAAAATATTTAATTTCTTCTTTATTGCATTCTTCACCAAAATTGAAGTGCAATGTAGAAAAAATGTCAAGCCACTACGTTTTTGGGTCACAAAGAACCCTTTCTCAATCAGGAGTTAGACATAAGTAATATGCTTGAGCAAGAGTACATTGTGACCCGAAATGTAGTGGTTGGAGTTTGGAGTGGCATTTTGTCTACCTTGACTTGGAGAAGAATACAATAAAGAAGGCCTTTTTGCAGTTAATTCAAGTTAATTCCTTTTTGCAGTTAATTCCCTGTGCCATTTCTATTGCTACACTTACTTATGTAAGCCAAGAACGCTGACTGGGGTGATTCACTGCATTCTCATGGGGAGTTATGCTGCATACAGAAATTTGTATGCAATTTCATTGTACTATTCTTCTGGGGGCTTGGCCAACACCCATTTTTGGGACATAAATTAACAGCTAGCTGTCATACTGGAAACATGGTGAACTGGTCTTTGAAATTATGAGCATATGTGCAATATTTTTTTTAAAAAAGTCACTATATTGTTCATTAAAAAAAAGGTGAGTAGTCCTGCAGAAATGGCACAAACCTGCTGAATCTAGAGGATGAGAGAATGAAAAGCCACTATACATTACAAATAAATACATTCACCACTGTCATAATGCAGTACCAGCCACACAGACTTATGTTCTTAAAGCCCATGCATGGCTCTTTAGTTAAATGGTATATTTCAATAAAATAAGATAAAAATGGTTTACAAATGTTTAGAAATGTGGAATGACATACCCACCTCCCATGTTCATAGCCAATTACCATGCTTTATAATGACAAAAACAAAATTTAGGCTGGGAATGTTCAACATAAGTTGGTTTACACAGCTAAATGACCCTTTATAAATACCTCTAATAAAACACTATATAACCAATTGACCTAGCTATAAATGTTAACAGCATAAACATACAAAGAAACAAAAGAAAAACCCAAACCTTCCTATTTGGCTACTTTTTAGGCAGTCATTTTGGTACCTTGATAACAATTATCTTATTACTTTAGTCATACATGTCAATTAATTGTACAAAATGTCCAGCTTACTGCCACCCTATGTTCGCCTTGTGTTGTTTATGCTATATTCTTGTTCCCACAGATATTCACCCTCCTCCGACTCTTATTGGTATCTCTTCTAACCAAATCTCTTTCAATGATGTGGACAGAAAGCAGGTGCTGTGGAATCTTACAGAGGAAAATATAAAGTTGGCTTCCTACATAGCTCTTGATGGAAGACTCTATTTCCTGCGTAATGATAGGATCTTTTTGAGGGATACAAAATGCAAATCTTCAATTCTGGTATTTGTTATAATTTTTCTAAAATTTAATAGTTAAGCTGACCCTTCCTAAAAAGTGCCCAAGGTAGCTATACTACCGAACTGGAGGCACCTTTTGTCCGTGTGTTTGTATTCAAATATATCACTGTCAACCCTTGGATCCTCAGTTCAAGCAGATAAAATTAGTCCAGGCCAGCTGAATACACTGTTGAAATACAAATATGGGAGTTGTTTAATTGCAATCTTTCTGTACACCCACTGCTGAGATTTATATAATCCTGCCAAATAGTACAGCTCAGCCTGGCAGGGCAGGAGACCTGATTTTTCTCTGCTGCATTTAAGTGACACTTGCTGGTCTTGCTTCTCCTCGACCTAGTGATTTGTCAGGAAACCAAGAAACTAGACAGAAACTTAAAGTGCAGGTTTAAAATATATAAGGAGTTTATTGAAAACAATAAACATAAATGCAAAAACAATGGAGAAAGTCCAAGACATCATCAGTGCCAAGCCAAGGGGTCAGAAGCCACAGTGGGTAGTCAGCCGAACCAGGTCAGGGAACACTGAGAGCAGGATGAACGGGAAAAAAAGCCAAAGTCAGGAACCAGTAGATCGGTCAGCCAGAGCCAGGGTCATACATGGAAATTAGGAACAACAGCATCGCACTTGGTTGATCAAAATAAAAGCAAGGGCGGAAACTGAATGGACAAGATGAAGCTTAAATGATGATGTTAACTGGTTTGACCATAAGAGGGCGCCAAAGAGGAACAGCGGTGCCAGAAACACTACACAAGGGTAAGAAACCTTGGCATGATTGGACAGTGACAGGGAAACATCACACTGTGAGCTCATCATACTGTCATTCTCCTCTCCTTTCCCCATATTTGTTGTTAGCTCATAAACCCCGCAGTGCAACTGACTGGCTCCTTGTGCTGCTTTTCCCTCTCCCTCTCTGAGATCTGTTGTATATTTATTTCATCCTTTGTTGCATGTCAGTGCTGCTGATCTCCTACAGCTTCTTCGCAACCACTTCCTGGGGGACTATCCTGGTGGTAAAGACCAGCAACATATTTTGTTATTTGTTTGCACATAGATATTTGGTATATGATATATTTAACAGACCAAAAGGGAGCAAATAAGTGAAGTTAATTGCTAGGGTTTGCAAAATGTAAAGTTACCTGTGTCCAGATCATTCACACTAAAGAATTTATATATTCTGATCAAGCAGTAAAAGCATCTTGAAAGAAGCTCTCATCCATCTCTGTATCTATAAGCATTGTGAAGAAATAAGTTTAAAAAAAATAGTTTTTCTTTGAGAACAGAATCTTGGCAGTCTGCCAGTCCCCTACAGTAAACAAACATCAAGTGTTCCTAACTTATTAGAAACTGACTAAAGGTGTCCATACACTGCTCGATTCTCGTACGAGAATCGGGCGAAATCCCGCGATCGTACGAGAATCGAGCAGTGTGAACTAAGACGTGCAACCGTTTCTACTGTACGGTCGCACGTCTTTTGTCGAGCCAACATGTTCGATAGCTGCGGAACGGGCCGGTGTGTGCACGCGCACACTGCCCGTTCTGCATTGCCGTCATCGGAAGCCCGCCCCTCAGCGGGGTGGGCTTTTGATGATCGCAAGTACGATCTGCCCGTCCAAGGTGGGCAGATCGTACGGGCTTCCAAGAAGCATACGACCATCGCAAGACAAAAGTCTTGCGATGGTCGTGAGGTGTATGGGCACCTTAACATTCGACTCAAGAGCCTTTGCTGTGATCATTTCACATAAAAAAAGCAGCTAAAAAGGTTGTAATGGATTGCTTTGAAGTGTCTTTACTGCTTGTTAAGACTATTTAAATAATTTAATGTTCTTAGCCTGGGCACAGGTGCACTTTCCTCCTGCAACTCTCACTCCATCCTCTTGAAGCTCCTCTAGTAATTACAGAAGTTAGACTTTACATTTTGAAGATCTAAAAAAATCTGCAGAACTCTACTCTGCTGAGGGACAGCATGGTAATCCCATCAACATGTTTTAATATATACACACAGATACGCTGGAAACCAACTCCAGTGCCCGGTTGCGGCCATGACCTCTGCGACCCTGGTAGTTCCGCCACTGCTGGAAACCGCTCTGACAACCCTCAGCTCCTAGTTGCCATGTTGCTGCGGATGCTATGATAGTTGTCTATGCTAAGGAGTGAGATGGGGCAGTGACAAACGAAGCGGGTAGAGCTGTATGCCCTCTGCGTACATCTCTCCTCCCAGACAACCTACAGAAAGGGACCAGGTAGAGAGGGCTGGTCCCCTGAACAGAAAGAAGATGGATTACTTGGCTATGGATCAGCTTTTCTACAAAGATTGCTAAAGAATGAAGCAGGGCACATCAAAACAGAAGGATCTTCTCCAAAGCCGAGCATTTTACTTAATTTGTAGAATCTTTAGTTCGTGCCCAAAGTTCAACGTTAAGGCTAATACAAGTACTTGCAGGCATCATAAGCTGCCTTTGCTTCAGCTTTATTTATTTTTTCTAGTGCTTTTTTGTGTTTTTGTTGGCTCCATAGGTCATAGGGGACAATGCAACTGTGTTCACTGGCAATAATAAAACATCCAAGCAGATATAATAGAAAACATAGGGACATTATTCTGTATGTCAAAGTGTGCTCTGTATGACGCTGACACTACTTGGTGATTTAAAAGAAACAGGATGTTCTTTGAAGTGAATTGTTTTTTTATCTTTCCAGCACAACTATTTTGAGAAATGCAATCTAGATAAAGAGAAAAAAAAATGTTAACCCAATAAAGTTAGAATGACTCATTCTGAACAATACATGACAATAAAATGAGATCATTTATGCAGATACGTTTTAAACCCATTTTTATAGAAAGGTTTGAATTGAGGAATCGATAATAAATACAGGAAATGTAGCTGGTACAATGATGTTACATAATATAATATGAAATGGCATGCAATAATTTATACCAGCCAATAATAATTCAGCTTTTGTCAGCATAGAGTTTGTGGGCAAATGAAAAGTGATTTTTTTTAATTGTTTTCTAAAGAAACTGCATTGTAGATTACCATAATAACTAAAGGCTTTTTGTTGTTTTTAGTTAGTAGCAGATGAACGTTTGTCTGGCACTCGAAGCATGACAGCAGACTGGATTGCAAGGCATATATATGTAGTTGTACATTCTGAGCAAAATAATACTGAACTCTTCTTTATTGACCTGGAGCATAAGGAGAAAAACCTCAAACCTGTTGGTACATCTCAGAAATTTTCCAACCTGGCCATAGATACTATTACTGTTTACCCCCTGCTTAGGTATATTGTATTTCTTATTAACTTTTTTCTGTTCCAATTGTATCATTTTATTGTATTCTTTGATCTTCTTTTCTTAGTTACTTAGTTCCACAGGTAGGTTGGAAAAAGGCACACGTCCGTAAATTAAAATAATTTAAATAAAAATACAAAAATAAACTAAACATCTGTATCCTCATAAACTTAAACCTGCAGTTGATCCAGAGAAAGGCAAACACAATCATTTTAAAGACAGGTCCAATTTCCAATGCAAAATTCCTTCCTGATCCCTTAAAGCAGGGGTCTCAAACTCAATTCCCTCGAGGGCCACTCACCAAATTGTTTTCTCCCATGGGGGCCGCTCACTAAATTCCATACTTTAAAATAAAATGTAACTATATGTGATATGGTATTATGGACCCCAATACACACACAATAAGGCCCCATTCATATCTGTAGGTTTAGGTGCGATTAGGGATTCCTGCGTCAGGGACTTGCGTTTTGCTGCAGCAGGAATCCCTAATCTGGCGTTTACAAGTGGCTGCTATCACCCATTCAAGTTAATGATCAGGTGACAGCCGTTGCATGTAAACTCCTGCACACCGCATGTAATGATATGTGATATTATTACATGCGGTTAGAAAACACTCTCCCTGAATACACAATCATTGCGTCCATGGAGAGTGATTGATTCCTAACCGAATGTAATCATATCATGTATCATTACATGCGGTGTGCAGGCGTTTACATGCAACTTCTGTCACCTGATCATTAACTTGAATAGGTGACAGCTGCCGCTTTTAAACGCCAGATTAGGGATTCCTGATGCAGGAAACCTATGTTCCTGATGCAGAAATCCCTAATTGCACCTACAGATACAGATATATACAATCCCAGTCCACCCACACACATATAAAATAATATAATTCCCAGTCCCTCCCCACCCCCACATATAACATAATATAATTCTCAGTCCCTCCCACCACATATAACATAATATAATTCCCAGTCTCCCCCCTTACATATAACATAGTATAGTTCCCAGTCCCCTGCCCCCCAACACACACATGTCAATTAAATACACAGCACCTCTCCTGCTTACCTTGTTGCAGGGAGGAGGCTGTGATCCACGATCATCGATCGCTGGTGATCTAGTGGCGATTAGAAAGGTCTGCTGCAGACCTTACTAATCAATCCTTTCGGCCAGAGTTCAGCGAAGACGCTGGCCGAAGGGATCCGAGTGCCGCAACAGAAGCAGCTATGCGATCTGCATCCAATAGAGATGCAGACCATGTAGCTGCTCCCGCAAGTCTGGTACGCGGTCCGTGACTGAGCTGGCTGCGGGCCACATAGTACCGGCTTGCGGGCCGGTACTTTTGAGTCCACTGCCTTAAAGCAATTAGATACTCCCTGGATCAACAACCTACAGTGTCATTTATTATAAATATTGATAGGCAGTTATATGTTGTGCTTTTAAAAATACGTCTCCGCTTTTTTTAAACTCAATCTAGTTAGCTAGAACTATCTCCTTTGTGCCCAAAATTAGACTGCATATTCAAGATGAGGTCTTACTAGTGCTTTGTTCAGGAGCAAGATTATGTTTTTATACCAGAAAGTATCTTCCTTGCTCTAGATCAGTAGTTTTCAACCTTTCTAGTGCCGGGACCCCTTTGTAACATTTGCCAAGTTGGGGTGACCCCAATGGTAAAATTATAATTTTTTACTATTAAAATTATTTTTTAATTTTTTTACTTTTTCAATTTTTTATTTATCTGTCAAACACATGACCCTTGGGCTGAATGCGGCCCGGCAGGCCATTTCATGTGGCCCTCACACTTCTCCTGCAGCTGCAGCAGGAGAAGTGCTGACTCATCCCCACCTTGCCTCCCATACTAATCGCTTTACATTTTTAAACTGAAGCCGGCGCTGTAAACAGGTGCCGGGCTTCACAGGAAGGTTGCTGAGGTCCTCAGCAAGATCCCAGCAGCCTCCCAGTGAACCGTTTACAGTGCAGCAAATTTCATCCTTCCTGTGGATCCACCACATTCGCACTTGCTGAGACTGACCGGGACTCCTTGTGAAACTGCACAGCCCTCCTAAGACCCCGCTCAGAATAGACCTCGCACAGCCACCTGAGAGTCCACACATAGGACCTGCAAACCCCTACATAGACCCTGCACAGACCATCTGAGAGTCCGCACAGCCCCTGATACAGTCCATTCCCCAAATGCCCCTTCATGAAGATAGATTCTTATTTTATTGAAAACATATTTATGGATAGAAAGTTTTATGCATTATGTGTAGACATGGTTATAAATATTAAACAAAAGCTAATGTTTAGTTAAGCCGTAATATGTCTGGTCCTTCTTTTTCTTTTTATATTGAGTAGTCAGCTGTGATTTTACAGGCAGATATAAGAGATGATTATTGACTGTAAGTTAACTATTTATTGGTTTTTATTGTTTTAGCCGCTTATACTGGATCGAACACTGGGAAATGGGTAGTGGCATATCATATTATGATAGCATAAACGATACCATAGTACATGTTTTGGGAGACTATATTCAGAAAGATGTTGCCCAAGCAACTGGCTGTGATTGCCATATGAAGAACTGGGAATTGATAACACTGATGACTTTGGATACAACAAATACCAGCAGCTCACACATATTATTCCTATGGAATGGAACAAATATCTGGGCCTCTGATATTGATGGATGTCAATGTTGGAATGTGATTAAGATACCTCTTATGCCTGGTTAGTATTTATTACTATTCATTTATTTGGTAGCACTGAATTCCTCAATATCAACCGCTGCCCCGAGCATTGTAAAGTCACGCAGTCATGTAGTCTCCCATACTCTAGTGCTAATTTAAGGAAAATCATTAATTGCCAAATTACTTTGTTAATAATTTAAATCGAACCTTCAGTTTAAATAAGCTAGATACATCCCAGATGCATCAAAGCAAAAGGTATTTAATGTCTTACTGGTTTTTTTCCCCAAAGCAGCCACAATCTGAGTAGAAAAGCATTTCCCTTGCCAGCAGCTGCAGACTGGGATCCTTGCTCTCTATGTGGAAGCAGTGGTCTCTCTGTGGAGGTTTGACATCCCCTGCTCAGTTAGACTCACAGTTTTGCATTCAGCAAAGCTCATGATCCCTGTTGTTTGGAGAGCTGTGGCCCTGACTCAGCAGTGGGCATGTTGGACCTCTGCAGAGAGAGTACTGCTTTCGCATAAACAGCAGGGTCCCGAACTGCATCTTCTGGCAGAGGACAGGCTTTTGTGCGTAAGCTGTGGCTGTTTTTTTATTTTTTTTTAAGAAATCTAAATGTAGGGCTTTGTACACCCTGTGTGTTAAAACACCTGGATTTAATTTTTTTTTATTCAATATATATTTATTACATTTTTCAAATAACATATACACATATACATTTAAATACATAAAAATAGTTTCCTTAAACATATACATATACATACTCTCTGGCACTCCTTTCCTGCACAAAGGAAACTTTTCTTTTCTACTTCACAATATAATATTGTTAATGTCTCATTGGCACTTCTGTGTATAAAGCACTTCTTCAGGATTATTTTGTAAATTCCCAAGATTTCCTGTTCTGGAATGGGCACACTATTTCTGGTAAATGCTTGTTTCTAAAATATGGCTGTATACCAGGGGTAGGCAACCTCAGCACTCCTAAATACTAGGGATGCAGCGATATCGTTTTTTTTTGGTATTGAGTACGAGTACTGATTTTTTTTCCCCCCAGGATACCATATAATTGGTACCGAAAGTCCCATTAAGGAAGCCGGGTGGCGTGTAATGACTTGCTGCCCGGCTTACTGACAACGGAAGTTCCGGTATTGGGATAGGCACTGGGAGTATTTGGGTAAGTACGATTACTCGTCCAAATACTCGGTATCGCCACCGCTACTGATACTAGTATCGTTATCGGTGCATCCCTACTAAATACAATCACTTCGTATTTTGCTTCATTCAATAATTTTCCTGATTTTTTTATTTTTATTTGTTTTTTAAGTTACCTGAAATGTGTTAAATTAAAATGTTGCATGCAATCATTCCATCTTCCTTTGACATAATTTTTTTTCCACATAAGTGTTATTTTTTTTATTGTGCTCATATGCTTTCTATTTAATAAAATGTTTACATAATGGCCTCTACAGTTCATGAGTAATATGTCTTTATGATTTTATTTTCACAAGATAAGATGTGAACTATAGAAGTATGCAGTTCTAATGTAAAATTTTACATGCATATTGACTTTGTATAGCCGTCTACATTTGAGCTGACCTTCAAATAAGATTTCTGCTGGATACAAAATGTTGTATAGTTGGTGCTAAAAACACTGAACAACTGATCTTTGTTTTGGATTTACATTTGCTGTTTTCATACAAATTATTCTGAAAACACCAGTGGAAAAAAATTTACTGTAGTGTTGTAAATACATTTTTTCATGGTCAAGGCTAAAAAATAAAATTTTAGAAAAACATTTTATAGATTAGATAATATATAATATAAAGGTTAGGTCAGAGAGGTTTGGGAGGCTGCTGCAGCCATGTACAGGCACCTCTAGGGCACTGTACTTTTTACCTGCAACAGTCTATCCCTCTTCCATTCAATGTCACAATCTCTTTAGGGTCCGTTCAACATTAGCAGTCTCTCACCACACACGCAATAAAGTATGGTATTTTGTGTGGTGTGTTAAGGCAGTTGAATGGACTGTCAATGCACCTCAATGGACAAAAGAACATACAGTTCCTGCATTCTTTTTGTAATGCAGCACTCCACAAAGCATGGTATTTTATTGCCAGCTACTATACTTGTGTGTTGGGGTGCCAAGCAGTACTGCAACCGCATAACGAAAACCTGCTGTGCCTTACTATGTGTTGCACTAACATGTTACATTGAAGAATTAACCCTTATTGCTGAGTTAAAAAACTAATAGAACTAGTAGAATTAGTGCTGAACTAAAGGCCAAATTACCTAATAAACGGTAAGCCTGAAAACCCTATTAATTTTTTTTGGTATGTGAACTTTTCCTGTCTTAGCAATAGCTCTTTTCCTACATGACCAGTTGTTGATGTAAAATTTCGGATTGATGATCCCATGCTGACAGATTTATTCCCAGGCCCACTATAGTAGTAATATCTGCACTGCCCTAATGGCATCCCTGGCTGGCAAGTTCAGAAATAGAGCACTTGGCATTGTGTGTACAGAAAGCCCAGTATTAATGTATGCAGTTTTTTATTATTGGGTTGGGGGTAAAAAATTGCTGCATACCACAATACTTCATACTGTCTTTATGATAAGCTGTAGGCAAAAAGTAGGATTGTTTAGATGCATTAATTTATAGTAAGTGTATTTTATTACTTTCACAATTAGGTTTCACAATTACTAGTCTGACAGTAGATGACTATTTTATATATTGGAGTGTTAATGTAGATGAAAAAACAAGCATATATGGAGCAAGCAAAAAAGATCACATGATAACGTTGTTGCAATTTACTCCTGAACAACATGTTCAAGTTATGGCATACAGCACATCTCTGCAACGCTTTCCAGGTAAATTATTTTCACTTTACATTTATTGTTTTTGTTCTAATCTAGGACTTTCCAGATTGGAAGGAAATGCATAGTAATTTATGATTTATCTGGGAGCTGGCTTGATACCTAAGCATTTGTAAAAATGTCGAATGAAAAAGGGGGCAATAGATCTACTGCACCTACCTACTTTAAAAAATATACTAAAGTACTGTGCTAAATAACTTGTTAATAACAATAATATGAAATGCAATGTATCCTGTTAAAAATATCTGCAAACAATTTATTTTTCTTAATGTATTTTAACCTTTTTTTAACTGAATGATATACAAGTTATAAACCTCATTCAAATAAAATAAAGATACATTCAAATGAAAGACTGATTAAGGGAAAGCATAGCAGTAGTAAGGATGCATGCAAAATTACCTTTTTTAAGCTATTGAATTTTGAGCTACAGAACAGTTTGGGGCCTACCTAATTTGAAACTCAGAGGTCCTAATTTATAGAAAAATCTTGCAGTTTCACTACTAGAAATTTAAATATATGATAGTGCTTTTTAGTTAAAGTGTATAGGAAGCCTACATTTTTAGTAGGTATTGATCTAAACCCCTGTCTGATTTTTTGCCCCAGCACTGGTGTAAGTGGTTGCAATAATCTCCCTTCATTGGTGGTCAGTGGTTGTAATGTTAATCCCCCACTATTGGTGGTCAGTGGCAGGCTGTAACAATGTAACTCATTTGGTTTGACACTGCCAAACTTTCCTGAACACATACTCCTGTGCTAAGCTTGCTCTCCCATCTAGGGCTTTACTTGAAAATTCTGGCATCTTTCAGTGTCTGGTGCCAGAATGGAGAGATTAGTCTACCACTTGGCACATCACTGCCACTCTGCATGTTCCTGGCAGCCGCACCAGGGCACCCTCTAAGTCCATGGTTCTCAACTGGTGGGTTGTGGCCCCATGTTCAATGGGTCACCGCATGCCTTCAACTGCACTAGGTAAGAGGCTCCTCAACCTCCCCCTAGCTCAGCACTGTCATTTCTCATACAAGCAGCCATTCAAAACATGCTTCCCGGTACAGAGTGTCAGCTTGAGGTGGGGTGGGGCTATGGCTGCGAGGGAGCTTCATCCATATGTGCATTGCTTACAGCTCCCTTGCGTACCGTTTAGAGATGCTTGGACCGGAGTGATGCCACATTCTGGCTCCAGGCACCTCTACAAGGGAGCACAAGGGAGCTCTCCAGCAATGCACATTTGGATGGAGTTCCATCACAGCACAGCAGCCCACAGTGGACCGAAGGCTGAGGATCGACTCCAATAGGGAGTATGAATCTTAAAATGTTTTTTTTTTTTAAATATTTTTTAGAGTGTGTATGTATGTGTGTAAGAATGTGGTTGTGTGTGTTTGTCAGTGTTTTTGAGCGCCCGCTCACAATAGTACAGTGCATCAATCACACAGTCCTGTGCGATTAACACACTGTACCATGCAATCGCACCTACCACATGTTCTGGTGCGCGAGGTGAGTTGAGTTGCCATTCATTTGAATGACACCCCAAACGCACTTCCTGCCCACAGTTCAATTGCCTGCACCAGAATGCACAGTACCACAACGCTGTGCATTCCAGTGAGATGTGATTTGGGACGTGACTTAATGGCTAAGGACAAATATGGGTCCTGAGTTTACACAGGTTTAGAACCACTGCTCTAAGTGGTGGTATCTGGTGGGGACTGACCCGACCGGTTACACCACTGGTCATCATGACAAAAAGAGAGGGTGAATCTCACCAGCACAAACACAGGCAGCTACTTTATATACTTTAAGAGAATTAAAGTGATTTTATTGTGTCTTATGCATTTACTACTGCCCTTTTTTTGCAATTGTTCAGAAATTAATCATCTTTCTAAGTATCAGTAAAATCCTTGATGTTGTTTTTTTGTGTATGAATCTGCCAGACAAAAAAGCACTCTGCTTTGAAAGCATAGAATAAAAACATTATGACAATAAATCTGCTTTTGTTATTTTGGATCAGAGAAGTATTATTCTTGTTTAAAGTGTAAGTGCATTTTTAGAGAAAGGACCGGTCTAGGAGCCAGCTGGGACTATCTCTGTTATGCTAACTCCCTAGACAAAACAAGCACTAAACCCTTGCAGTGCGGGGGTAGCCCCACTGCAAGGGTTACGTTTTCTGCCCAGAGTTATTCTTTAAAGGGTACACTGCAATCAGACAGAAAATTAAACCTTGAGATGCTGGGATCACAGCTACTTATTCAGTACTGATGTTTTTTATGCAGGCATTACTGTACTACACTAATCCACCCCACTCCCTATTTTGGTAATTTGAAGTTGATCCTAGAATGTGACTGCTTGCAAATTTGGAACACACACTGCAGACGCAGGCTGCCTTTACCATAATGAAAAACAGATTCTTTTGGAAGTTCATAATTTATTGGTATTGGTGATGATGGAAGCAGGAGGAAAGAAAAGGCACAGAATCAAATGGCTCACTTCTGCCTGCATAATGATACTGTGAGGAGCTATGACATTTCTTGATAGAGATGGCAGCTGCCTTCACAAAGGGTATCTCCATTCCTTGCAAATTTTGGTGATACCCAGAGCATGTTAGTTAGTGGGCAGGAACCGTGTGGCGGCAGCTTTGCAAGCAGGAAATACTATTTTAGGGATGATGAAAGCCAAATTTAATTAGATTTTTTATTATGATATGTTTTAATGCTTTGTAAAAGCTGATTATGTTTTTCTGATGCTGGAGCCCAAAAAAGCTGGTTGCAGTCCGTTGGATTCCTAACTGCTGTGTGGACTCTTGCATCCAGTATAAAAACACTTTTTGAGGTTTTCTACCCTAAGAGATGGTAAAAGGTGAGGCTGCTATAATTACAGTGTGCAACCTGAGATTCTTCTGTTTTTTGGTTTGTTCTCAGCACAGCAATAAAAAAGATATCTGCAACTTTGGAATGTCAGACTCACACTTGCCATGCAAATGTGCGATATTTTACATTTTGATTACTAAAAAATGATATTTTTTTATTTTTTTTGCTCCTAGACATCATACAGTATATGAATAGCAAAATAAATGTTAACATTGTACATTCTTTTGAAAAATCGCACCATTCTTCAGCTTTGCACTAGTGATATCTAACACAATACCTTCCTTTAATCGAAACTCTAATTTTAGTGTTTTCTTTTACAGACAAAGGATGCCTGGTACTGGCATCACTTACCTCTATACCAGTTGTACTGAACTCTACCACTACAAGCCTGACTTTACAACTGCCTCCAGTAACTTATAAATTAAACTGCATATCGATAAAGAGCAGCACTCCAACGTACACAGTAACATATAGAAAACTCAATCATGGCAAATATAAGGAGCCTGCAATATCCGCAAATATCTTCACTGGAAGCATACTAGTAAGATGGCTTAATTTTCTTTTATTTTTGTATACATTATTTATAAAGATTTGAAAGGTTCGGCAACAGGTAAGCTGATGAATACACCACTAAAATACTTAGGTGGTAATTGTTTTACCTGTTAAAGGATTTATTTCCATCCAGTCTTGAAATTTAAACAACTCTGCCAGATCGTACAACTAATGATCTGACTTTTGTTTTGCTGTATTCTTAGCAAAACCTGTCCTCAGCATGTGATTAGACAGAGAGGGAGCAGCAGACGGATTAGGTCACCTCTCTGCCTACTCCTCCTATGAGTGTGTTCCTTTTCAGTACTACCGTAGTGATGAGCTATGGGTTCAGGTCGACCACTAGTTCGACCCTTATTTATGGGTTTTTTTTCTCTTAGTGTCCCCCTTGTTAGTAACATGTTTGGTAACATTCTAAATGATTCACTTCACTTTTGAAATAACTAGCTAGTGTGTTTTATTCACATAGAAGAACCATTTGCTCTTATTCCTTGAAGTAGTGAACACACTGTATAGAATAACATTTATTCCCTTGGTAAGAATGCTTTCTCTGCGCTAACAGGAATTTCAGAATCAGATTGCACTTATCCTTGGGTTACAACCTTTCTCAGATTATGAAATGGAAGTCAGCGTGACAAATTATTACTCATTTTTGCTTGCTGAACAGCCAAGAACCGTTCTTGTTACTGGAAAAACGGATTATGGCGGTAAGTATATACTCCATGATTTACAATGTGTCTATTGCAAGTAGCAAGGCAGGCAACACCAGGGAGCCCCGAACTAACCCCCAGGGAGCCACTGACCACCAGGAAACCATTGGCCCCCAGGGAGCCCCGCACTGACCACCAGGAAACCACTGGCCCCCAGGGAGCCCCACACTGACCACCAGGGGGCCACTGGCCCCCAGGGAGCCCCACACTGATGACTAGGGAGTCACTGGCCCCCAGGGAGCCCAACAATGACCACCAGAGAGCCACTGGTCACCAGGCGAGCCCCACACTGACCACCAGGAAACCACTGGCCCCCAGAGAGCTCCACACTAACCACTGGCCCCCAGGGAACCCCATACTGACCACTAGGGAAACACTGGCTCCTTGAGAGCCCCACACTGACCACCTGGGAGCCACTGGCCCCCAGGGAGCACCGCACTGACTACCAGGAAGCCACTGACCACCAGGGAGCCCACACTGACCACCTGAGAGCCCTACACAGAGAGCCCCACATTGACCACAAGAGAGCCCCAAACAGAGAGCCTGCACTGGCCACCTGAGAGCCCTCTTAAAACCCTGGAGATGTGAGGCCATGATCCTGAAGCAACAAAGTATGTAGCTTCATATTTTTCAGCATTACTGTATATTGTTCTACTGGGATTTGTAGTCCTCTATAGTTAGTGGTATTCTGCATTGCTGCATAATGCTGGCACTTTGCCCTGCATGTTTTCTGCATTTTAGGAGGACTAAAGTGGCAACCCTTATTTTTCCCAGATTTACACTCACTGGCCACTTTATTAGGTACACCTTGCTAGTACTGGGTTGGATCCCTTTTGTCTTCAGAACTGCTTTCATTCTTTGTGGCATTGATTCAACAAGGTGATGAAAACATTCCTTAAAGAGTTTGGTCCATACTGACATGATAGCATCACACAGTTGCTGCAGATTTGTCGGCTGCGAATCCATGATGTGAAGCTTCACCAGCCTGAACTATTGAGTGGGTATGGCCTAGACTGCTGACCAGAGAATGTCCTTCATTTATTTAAGAGTCCAGAATACCTGCTGTCAATCCAGATTTCTTCCAACCCACACCTGCATGAGCCCCGATAAATGGGATTAGTTAATCCCTCAAAATACCTTGGCTATCCTTGTACTGTTATGATGAATAATAATAGAATTGGACTGCAGTGTAAACCATATATCTTGTCACTGTACCAGGCTTACAATTAACCTCCCTGGCGTTAATCCCGAGTCTGGCTCGGGGTGGATTTTCCATGCTAGGAGCGGTAACCCCGAGCCAGACTCGGGGTTGCAGAGAAAAGTGACACTCACCTTGTCCCTGTGAGCCCGCGGCGTCCTCTGCTGTACGCGGCCCGAAAATGAAACTAAAAGCCGGCATCTGACTTTTAGTTTCGTTTTCGAGCGTCACAAGCATGAGTCTTGTCATTAATAACATCTAATATAATTTATATTTTCTTAGTTCCAGAAGCAGTTTCAATTATAGAAGCAACAGTTTTGTCAGATTCACTAGCTAATATAACTTGGGTTGAGCCATCCAGGCCAAATGGTCCACTTGAGTTAATCCGATACCAGATCAAAGTTGACAATTCAGCTCCAAGTCCTTCTCTACCATTAAGGCAAAGAGAATTACCAGATGAAAAGCTTTTGTGGACTTTTACAAATCTTAAAAGTGGAACTGATCATCAATTTAAGGTAAGTTTATTTTAAATTCTAGAATATAATATGAATGAAGACTCTTTCAAAATAGTAATGTGAGGTATTTATTCACTTAATCAGGTCCTTGCATTTCACCCAGATGAAAACTGGTACACTGAAAGTACTGCTATTTATGCCAGAACGTTTAAATCGCCTGCTCCACCACATAACATAATTCCAGGGAATACCAGTTTGGTGTTGGAATGGACTGCTCCAGAAGAGCCCATAGCAGAATTCTGGTTTGAAGAAAATAAGGTGACCTTTATTATTTGGCTTTGTAATTTTACTTACCCATGGTCCCTGTGTGTTTTGTAAAGTAGCCACTGCTGTAAGCTTGCCCTCGTGATGGACTACAATCTCATGTTTAGTTCGCTAATTTGTATTGAGATTGTAGTCTATCACGGTTTTAGGAGGAGAAATGAGTATCTCCAGAAGTTGGTGGCTGTAATCATATGTAAGATTTTTCAACTTGCTAGGAAATCTCTGTGCAAGCAGGACTGTTTCTTCACTGTTCCCAGGGACACATCTATGGCCACATTGAGCCAACGTTCTTTATTTTGCTGAGCATTATATTATGTTGTCTGTGAAGGTTCTTGTTCATCCAGGTCATGGTATATCTGTAAAAAATAAGTCAAGGCAACTGGACTTGCTGTATTTTTCTCGAAGACGTTCCACTGGTCATCCAACCAGCTTTCTCGTCATTTTGACTTGGAGAAAGTTGGTTGGATGACCAGTGAAACATCTTCAAGAAAAATACAGCAAGTCCAGTTGCCTTGACTTATTGTTTACAGATATTATATTATGTTGCCTAATCAGGAACTATGAGATTATTTTCACCGCAAATACTGGACAATTATTGACAGATAAAATCCAAAATGGTTTAGTCAGTCATCTTGCTCGCACTGCTTAAAGATGAACTCCAGGTTTTATGCATACTTAGCCAAATCTACTGCAGTTCTGACAGCAATCTTACGGTTTGCAAATGTATAATTTCATAACTGTTTCCAATATGCATTTGTTTCTCATTTGTCACTTTGTGTTCTACAAATTAGTTAAAATGGTCGACCTGGTATAAATCTATGGATGTATCCTGCACAGCCAGATCTATCTATATCTGCACAGTCACCGGACTTGTTCCCAATACTAGTTACAACATACGCACTGTGGTGGTTTATACAACTGGAGCTCAAAGTGTTTCTAATCCAGCAAACTTCAAGACTGCAGGTATGAACTTCTTTATTGTGTTGATTTTAACTATCATGTTTGCTGAGAACATTGACAGTAAAATATTTTTAAAACTGTAAATACAAGGACAGGACATTGAAGTTGAAATCCAGGCTACAATGATGACAGGTGAAGCACATCTCATGAATTACTGAATCTGTCTTAAGGTGTACATACACTGTATGATTATCGTATTAGTTAAGAGAATCGCGGGAAATCCCGCGATCGTACGATAATCGCAAAGTGTATGGAAGGCGTGCAACTGTTTCTACTGTACGGTCGCACGTCTTCCGTCGAACAAGCAGGCTGGAAAACCCGCCGGGAATCGTACGATTCTCGGCAGGTTAGTGGCCTGCTTGTTCGACAGCTGCCGAACGTGCCGGTGTGCGCACACGCACACTGCCCGTTCAACATTGCAGTCATCGGAAGCCCGCCCTCAGGGAGGCGGGCTTGCGATGATCGCAAGTACGATCTGCCTGTCCAAGATGGGCAGATCGTATGTTTTTTGCGAGGGTTGTAAAGTGTATGGCCATCTTTTAAAAAACAAAGGTCAAAAACCCTGTCACCTGATGGACATATTGGCGTTGATTTAATAAATGCAAATAGATTATTCACTTTGCAAGGAGATATGCACTTTGCAGGAGTATTTTCCCTTAGTTTAGGGAATGTGATAAAAAATCTCTGTGCAAAGAATACTCAATCACATGCAAGGGAAATAAAAAACAGTATATTTGCTTGCACATAATTGGGTGATGGAAGTCAGTAGAGCTTTGCCACATTCACTAAACTAAGCTCCCCTGCAAAGTGCAAATTCCCTTTCCAAGTGAACAGCATATTTGCCTTTAGACAATCGACACCATTGAGATGTACTGCAGTCGATTTACTAAAGGAGCAGACACTGTTCATCTAGCAAATTAATGTTTAATTTTGCAGTGTATGTTTAACTCACAAAGCAAATGTTAGTTAACAAGGTAAACCTGTGTATACTTTAAATGTCCAATGATGTGTGTGGGATATGAAAAACAGGATTTTTGTTGGCTCATGACTGGGTATTTGAAGTGAACACAACATCTATATACGCTATACACGAACATTCACTTTGCAAAGTGAACATTCAAAGCATTCAGAAAGTAAAACTCCTCTTCTGTTTTGTTTGTAAAAGTGATTTCACATTACTTTACAATAGACACTTTTGTGTTGGCAATAAAGTACATGGATGTGAATTATTTTTTATAGCATGTGATATTCTATCTGTTGCTTTTCAGCTGGGGTCCCTAGCAAACCAGGAGTTCCACAGATTGTCCCTGGAGATAAAAGCACCGTCCAGTGGAACATGGGTGAAGATAACGGAAGTAACCTGACATATAATATGTTAGAGTATAGGTAATAATACCTGTCTAGACATATTTTTAGAAAAGATTGCAGCTGCCAGATTTTACATTCAATTGCTGCATAAAGTAGCACGTCACAGATCTTGGCTATTCAGACTAAAAATATAATGAAAAAGCAGTGGTTACCTGATGTTAAATACATATATAAAAAGTCAGTAGATCCAGAAGTATAGGCAGCTGAAGATGAATGCAAATCTTAATGTATGTATGTGACTGGTCCACTCTAGAAATCTAGAATAATTCACTAATGTGCTAATACTGTTTAAATTTCTATTTATCAAAATACAAAAAAAGTCAGTATTGTTATTTTATCCAAATCTTTAAAAGAATACATTTCTTCAGTGGTGAACATGTCAAGAGTGCTCTCCACTATCCTGGCAAAAAGATGTGTCCCTACTGAGGTTTCCTATTGCTGTAGAAATGGATTTAGGAGTTCCACTTTTTTAATGACAGAAGCAGTAGTCTAGGTTAAGGGTTACATTAAAGATAGGAGAAGAGGTAGGGATTTCCATTTAAGGTTAAAGAGTCTGTTAATTACAGCCTGTAAAAATACAATAAAATTATTTTCAGTCCTTTCACCAATGCCACTGGAATCTTTGGCATCCAACACTTCTGGGTATGTCAAATGCCTGTGTCTCCAGCTGTAAATCGTGGTTCCACCTGCCAGCTGCCATGATGCTAGTCTAGTGTGTAATGTATCCCTACAGCTCTGTGACCAGCAGGTGGAGCTATAGCACATGAAGAGGAGACAGGCATGTAAGACTCTCTGGAGTGTCAGATGCGGAATATTTCAGTGGTGGTGTAGCTCTGCAAGAGAGAGAGAGAAAAAAATGGATTGGTGGTGCTAGCATGTAGTATTAATGTTGTTTTACAGGCTGACTTTTTCTTTCTTTTTTTTCTTTATATATCTCTTTTTTGTGGATGCTGTTTAGGTATTGGATAGTGGGTTAAATTGTAGGTTAGGTTGTATGTTTAAGGTAAAGTGTTAATCATAAATGTTAAGTTTAACTTATTATTTAAGTTTAAGGTTAATTGTTAGGGGCTGGTTAGTTTTAAGGGTTAGAATAGGGGGTAACACTTAGCTGCAGACAAACTTTTTCAGTTGTTGATAGGGGATAGAACTTTTTAGTGTTATTTGTGACTCCACAAGGGAGATTTCTGCTCACTTAATATCCCTGTGACACCAGAACATGGAACAAGGGGAAAAGGCTTCCAAGACAGTAAAGCAGAGGCAGCAATAAAACCCAACAGATATCTAACCCTCCTCACTCTATCCAACCAAAAATCATGCTGGAATTAGGCATTAAACCTAAGCAATACTTTTAGGGGTTAAGATAGACTTCCTACCCTCACCTGAAATAGGCTCAGGTGAGGGTAGCACTGTTAAACTGCCCATACACCTTATGAATATCTGCCGATTTTCGTATGCGATCGCATTTTCGTCCGATATTCGTAAGGTTGATGGGCAGTGTACAACCGCAAATACTGTACAATCGATCGACTTTTGACTAACCAGCTGGTTAGAAAACTTCGGTCGATCGCACGATTTTTGCAAGGTTGGTGGCGTTTCCATACGTCATAATTCATACGATTTACACTGCTCATGCGCAGACGAAGATACGTGCGGTCGATTGCCGTAATTCGTCCAGGTGCTTTCTTCTAATTACCGCTGATCCAACCTTGCGATAATCGGGGCAGGATGGGGCCGCCGTACGAAAATCGTACGCCTGTTCGATCAGATCACAAGTTGTTTGGGCAGCTTTAGTATTACCTCAGAATGTACATTGAGTTAAGTGATATTAAAGTCAAAGGCAAAAGGATTTTAAACTATTCCAAATGCTGATTAAATCACTTACAATGGATGCTGCTTCTTGATGTTTAAAAGTTTTAGTTTTCTACAGAATCAGCTGGTCCCCTGAGCACTGGCCCTGACTTCCTGTTATAGGGTGACCCCTTTCCCTTGCAGGGTTCTATGGAGCCACCCTCATTTGTGCTAGTTAATTGACTAATGTAGTTAATACTACTTTAATATTTGTTTTTGGCCCCAAAAGACCAGTGCCCAAAACTAATAATGTCTGGCTAGCAGTGCTACAAATGGACCTACCATCCTTAACCGCTTGAAGACCAGGTGTTTAGACCCCCTTCCTGGCCAGGCCATTTTTCAGTATTCAGCGCTGCGGTACTTTGACTGACGTTTATTCCGTCATGCAACGCTGTACTGAAATGAATTTTATACCATGTTTTGGGGACAGCTAGTGCTTTCTTATGCTGGTATTTAATCACCACTGGGGTTTTTATTTTTTACTATATTCAGGAGAAATTACTGAAAATGTTGAAAAAAATACGTTTTTTTTTACATCATGTTATAAAACAACTAATATTACCCACTATTACCGAGCTCCCTCTGATCCCCTGTGGCAGAGGCCTCACACCGGAGCCCGGGACCAGCTTGACAGCGGGAGGGGGGGAGTGTGGGAGCCGCGGAGGGGGGGGCGCATGTCTCGGGGCCACATACTAGCGATCCGCTGGCTCTATAGCCGGCGGATCGCTTGTATATTAACGGGCATCGCTGCCTGTTTTCAAATAGCAGGGGTTTCTGGCGCGCGCGTGGCGCGCCCGTGCGGGCGGATGTAACAGGACGTGTATACACGCCCAGTTACATCCAAGAACTCCCGGCCGGCCGCGTATACACAACGGCTGGCCGGGAGGTAGTTAAAGGAGAATTATGAGGTGAGTGATTTTCACTCAACCTCATAGTTCGAGCCGACGTGTGACAATGAAACTGTCACACGTCGGCTCAATAGTTAGGGAAGTGAGCAAACACATACTGTCGCTTGCTCACTTCTCGATCATGGCCCTGCACAGAGCAGTGACTGTCAATCACGGCTCTCTGCAGGGATTCCCCCCCTCCACACTCCGATCCTCCTGCGCTGACTGGCAGAACGGACGGGGGAGGGGGCGGTTACAGCTGGCTCTGCCTCTAGATAGGCAGAGCCAGCTGTCAATCACGCAGCTGGATGGATCTCGACAGTATTGTCCGGATCCGTCCTGGCTGCAGCGGTCTCAGTATACTGCGAGCTGTAGCTCGCGGTATACTGAGCTTTGGGCCACGGGAGGACGCTAGTATATGTCCTCCCGTGACCCTTAGGAGAACTATGGAGGAAAACACTGACCCCTATAGTCCGCCTTTTAAACATGGTGATATAATGCACTTTAAAAAAAAACAAAAACTAATGCATAATGATGTAAATATATTGTCCCTTGCTACTGAGAGTTATACATATATTTTTCATTTCAGTATAGTGGTATTTTTTTCCCTATAAGGGAAATCTTCCCTGGTCCCTACTAATCTCTATGGTTATAAAGTCAACCCCTTCCTTTATTATCTCTGTAATTTTTGATTTCTTTAAGTTTTTTTTCTGTGTTTATAGCTTTCAATTTACAAAATGCATGTTATTTATAGGGAGGTTGTTTCTGGTGCCAAAGTAATAGAGTCATGGACACTGGCATACAATGGCTCTTGTAGTAACATCTGCATTTGGAAGTCTAGGATATTGGATGGAACATTCCAGTTCAGAGCAGCGTCAGCAAACCTTCTAGGGCTCGGAGATTACAGCGACACGAGTGAAAATATTTTGTTACAGAAAGGTAAGTTTTTATTTACTTATACTAAACAATGAATAAACATGGACTGCTCTAGGCCTACAGTGTTTTAATCATTTTGAAAAGTTAAAATATAAAGATGCTTTAACTGCTGAACAGCTTACCTTTGTGTACTTTGCTTTTGCTTCAAATCATTTACCAAGAGTTTCAAAAGTGTTATGTTTCACAAAGAGTTTGGGGACTATAAGAAGAATATATAGTACTGGTAGGCTATTCGGAGAATTACAATTGTGATTTTATCTGAAAACATGCACCAATAAAATGCATGGAGTAATTAGTGAGTTCTCATATAGAAACAAATGTTAACTGTCCTTACACCTAGGATATATTTTGCTCTATGGTGGAACTAAACAAAGATATGTAAGACTGTTAGCAACGTGGAAGTTCATGTAGCCTAGTAAAATAAATGAAGCTATGTTCATGTCTATAATCATATAAAAGTAATAGTCCTTTTAAAAATTACCTTGTAAATGATTAGGTATTCAAAATGAACACAATAGTTCATTGCAATTTAATTTACAAAGTTAATATTTATCAATGACACAGTCTAGCTATACTCCAGAGATGTCATTAGGTCACACACAATTGTCTTGTTATAAGATTTGTCACTATGCTTAACAGAACAAAATTGCTTGGCTCTGACTGCATAGATCTAGATGGCAGTGGGGTTATACACGGGAATAATGCTACATATACAGTATACAGCTGAACAGTGCATTGCCGGTATACTTAACATGTGTGTGCCTCATGTTGCTGGCTTTTATACAACTTTTCAACCATTGCAATTCTGCAGGACAAAAATTCTGCAGAATCATCATGTTTACGGCTAGTAAAATTTTCCCATTCTCTTTTGTTATTTCCAACATATGATTGATGATACTGTTTTGTGGATGTCTTATCTCCGCTAGAGTACTTAGCTTTCCCTTGATTTTACAGAGAATGATGGAAATAATGGTGCACAATATGTAAGCTCAGCCATCTTACTTTAGCGGCTGATACATGGCATATTAGCAGTGATACATAAGATTGTCCTTGAGCACAGCACATAAGACTTTTATGTACTTTGCAATTACTGCTGGAGTTATAGTTACATTTATTCCTGTTGTTGTGGGAATATACGTGCTTCTTTGGTAATAGCATACACATAACCGTGGCTCTGGTTTCATTTCTATGAAAAGATTAGGAATGGCTACAATTACAGTGTACTTTCAGGATGACAATAATTATACAAAGTCACCTACAGTAATAATACTTATGTGGTGTTCTAACTTCATGCTTATTTGGACAACACTGAATGATTGACAACAATCCATAATGGCAAATTTAAATAGTTCAGTCCCATGCTTGATTCTGAAAATAGTGGGCATTGCCAATATATAGTTGACTTTGGGCAGTGTTGCAGTAATATGAGAACAGCTTCACTGCCCCAATTTTGTCTCTTGCTGTTGGGAATTGTGTAATTTCTGCTTGTGTTATGACAGAGGGTTTTTTTCTTTGCATATATTCATATTGTTTTTTATTTTTCTTTCCTCAGAGAATGGTTCTTCCAACCAGGTTGCAATAGTTGTTGGTTCGGTTTTAGGCATACTTCTGGTTTTGCTTCTGGTCATTGCCTTTGGTATGTACAAAGTATGCTTACATTGGCTGGTTTTAGGGTGGGGAAGCTTTTATTAACATATTTTTTTATCTTAGTGGTATACCAGAAATCCAAGCAGAATTCTATTGACAAGAAAGATGACATAAATAATATTCATGAGGATAAAGAACTTGCTAAGCTTCGAGGATTGTCCTATGCTGTTGGCTTGGGAAATGCATGTTATGCTGTCAGGTAAGCAGGATAATTACAATTTGTATGAAATGTTGATATGTTGTTCCAGCAGGGCTGCATTTACATTTCAGGAGCTTTTAGGCACTAAAAATGGGTACATTAATCAGCAGCCATCAACATATGCCACACTCTAAGTCACTACTCTTTTTTTTGGGAAGGAATTTGAGACACAATTATAAATGTACTTTACAGGGTCCGTTATACATCATAGATCATGTATGTATAGTGCTGTGCTACACAGCAGAGGAGATGTATATATTTATATTATGACAGCAGTAACTGCTTAATCAAATTTTCCAAATACCTAAACATAAAGTGCATTCCAGAGAGAAATAAAAAAACATATGCAGTGCACAGGGTCGTAGATAAATTTTTTTCCTGGGGGGGGTTCAGCTTCCTCAAACTATAAGATTTTATGTAGCAGACACACCAAGGTTTGAAAAAAATATACCGGCCATATCATTCCTAAACCAATCCTTTACCCTGAGCAATACCGATTTTGTTGTTTGACACCATATGGATAAAAACCATGTTTTCAAAAGACTTATAATTGGTACCAATTCACACAAACCACTTAGTATACACTTATTGGGATTTTTGTTTTTACCAACAATATTTAGCAGAATACATTTTGGCCTAATTTTAAGAAGAAATTTAATTTTATTTGATATTTTGTATAACAAAAAGTTGAAAATATTTATTTCCACAATTTTTTGTCTTTTTTCATTTATAAAAAATTTTTAATAAAAACCAGCAGCGATCAAATAGCACCAAAAGAAAGCTCTATTTGGGTAAACGTGCACGGCCGTATTGGGCAGCTCCCAGGAAGGACAGGTGCTGCGTGTGATTAGTACGCAGCCCCTGTCCTTCTCTATGGGAGTACATGACCATACGCCACCCTACGCTCACCCCGAGTGCAGGTCCGTATGGGTACAGGTGTCCCGTCTTGGAAGCAGACAGGATCCATCCTGTAAGCGTACAAGTACCCGCACAAACATGCAGGGTGGGTGAGCGTAGGGCGGCATACGGCCACGTACTCGGGAGCTGCCAGATACGGCCGTGCACGCAGCACGGAGCTGTGCGTGCCGGCTGTTTCTCATGTGAATGAGGCCTAAGAGACATCCTTTAAGGTAAGTCCCTACAGTAGGATTGGGAAGGGGGAAAAAAAAGTTTAACTTTATTGTCACTTTAAGATGTGTGAGGCTAACAGATACCTGCTACCACAAGAGAGCTGGTCCCATGTCCCCCAATTTTACAGGCGTTAACTGCAGATCCCAGACTGGTCAAGACTTTGAATGCAAATCACCTAAATGCTTTTCATTTTGACATAGTGTATATTTGCATTGTGCATTTTTCAACCTTTAATAAAGCAGTCAGCATTGAGCACCCTGTATTTGGACTTCACTGCATTAATTATACATATACATAAGGATCTTAAAGCAACTTACTGGCACAGCAATGGTTAACCTCCTCCCCCCTGTCAGCTCACACTCCGTGTCCTGTGATCTTCGTTCACAGCGCGGTGTCCTGCACACAGTCCCCCCCTGGCTCAGGCTGATGTCGGCTGGTGATGGGGGCGGGGCAGCCCTGCTCTGTGTTCAGCCTGGCCGCTCTGTGCTCTTTCATCACTCGAGCTGTCAGAGCTGGCCATCGTACATAGCGGGTTGAGCCGAGCCGGCCCGAACACAATCAGGGAGATTCGGCCAGGACCCTCTACACCCCTGGCAGTGCATCTCTGCAATACAAGATCATTTCCCCATGTTCTAGCCCTTTAAGGACCCTGCAAGTACAAAAGCATGTATGTTGAGGTGCCAGAAATGTACTCAGCTCATATGTTGTGTTGTAGGCTGATAACACACAGAGGAGTATCAGCCCTGCCCAGTTTAATTCAACTAAACTACTGAATCATGCTCCTTCTTTTCATGTCCACAACATAAGCACTGATTGATCTGTGATTCTAAATAAGAACTGGGAGGACTAATCGGGCTCCTTGAAATTACACAAGAAGTGTTCACAGGACATGGGCAGCTCTGAATTGCTGACAGAATTAATAGGTAATTTTTTGCACATATTGCACAAGTATACCAAAACACTTTCAGGGGTATATTTAACAGACCAAAAGGGAGCAACTAGGAGAAGTTAATTGTTAGGGATTATGTATACTTTAAATGCCAACAAGTAAGGTCAGTAAATGTTGCACATATATTTCACTGCAGTAAAATGCCATGCCTTGTAAACCACTTAGCAATACCATGCTACAAGAGCCAAATTTAGTTAAGTCATGCTGTTTAGTCCACTGTCAGCCCCGTCTCCTCTACCCTTTTTACCCCCCTTGACTCATCTGCTCCCTTTCGATTGTTCTGCTGGCTTTCCTCCTCTAGGTCTACTTTCTGCTTCACCTCTGACTGCCTCCTGTTGACTTTAGTGTCCTCTCTCCATTACATATATTTGCCCCTTCTCCTTTGCTATGCCTCTCCACCTCTGTACTCTGTTTGCACTGCTGGGTTTGCTATTTACTTGTCTCCCCTTTCTGTCTCCTTTCCCAGCTGTTCCCTCCTAATTTTATATACAAAGTATGCCCCATTACTGCCACATTAAAAATAAAGTGAGTGATTCTTCAGCACAGCAATGGCAGTGCACCAATAGTCTACAATATGTAATAAACCTTGATGATGATGATACCATTTGATGTTGTTTAATTTAGTAGTTTTGACAACTTTTCAGTATTTTGCCAACAAAGAGTGAAATGGAGATCTTACCTAGCTTTCCTCGAGAGAATTTAACCCTCTGTGATTTCTTGGGAAGTGGAGCTTTTGGTGAAGTCTATGAAGGAACTGCTAAGGAAATTCTAGGGCCTGGGACCGGGACCAGTAAAGTAGCAGTCAAGGTATTACATTCGGAAGTTATAGAATCTGCAAGGAATTTATACTGATGTAAAAAACGTACCTATTGGGAAAAAAAATATTTTCAGTTGCTTTTTGCTTAGAAAACA